AGATGTGCTAATTGTCACTACAATGGCAATCACATTGCAGTATAAATGTATCAAATCTATATGTTGTACACCTTAAACTTATAAGTCAATCATATCTCAATTAAAAAAAAATCAGGACCAAACTGAAAAAAAAACCACCAAAAAATAAAATTAAGTTATTTAATATTACAGTTTAGAAAGTACCATGGTTCAACACTATAACTCTAGTTCTTTTTTGATGTATTAATTCACTCACTCAATAAACATATTAAGTGTCTTTCACAAATTAGAAGTGGTCCCTGCCCTCCTGAAGCCTCTGATTTAGTGAGGAAAATAGGCTTTTAAATACAAATATGTAACTAAATAAACAATTACACATTTTAATTAACGATAATGGGGGACAAGAATACATACGATATGAGAGAGAATAAAAAGAGGGACCATATTTAGATTTGGGAAAGTGTCAGGGAAGATCCCTCAGGAGACGTGACTGGTAAACTGAAAAGTAAAGAATGCACCGGAGTTTGCTCAGGAAGAACAGGGGGAAGGAATTCCAGGCACAAGGAACACATGGGCAAGGGCTCTGGAGATAGGAGGAGCCGGGTACAATGTTTGAAGATTTTTAAAAAGGTCACTTAGGTAACAAATAAAGAGCAAGGGAGGAGTGGCACGAGATGAGATTGAGGAGGGGCTGGAGATCATGGATTTTATTCTAAGTAAAAGAGGAGTCCACCAAAAGCTACAGGTAACTTTTTATAGTGATTGTTATATAACAGCATGTAACAAGCATGTAACAGCCATAATAGAGTAGCATACTGTCTGATTGTTAGCAAGTGCAAATAAATGATGACGTTATTGTGTCATTACCAACATGAAAATCAAATATATCTAAAATTCAATTCTAAGATGAATTTCTTAGAATTTTTATTGCTGTTCCTGAGCCTCTCAATTCTATGTTAATATAATAGATTATGACCTAGTTAATATTTAAATTTTTCGAAGTAGTTCTTGGAGATTCTACGGTCCTGAAAACTCAATGCCATAAAGATACCAGGATTCCTCAGTGAATCAAAAAATTCATTTTTTAAATGGTAATATCAATACTTGAGATATTTGGGGAGTACATTTCTTAGAATTCAAAAATTTGAATAATGTCATCATTAATTGCAAGTGTTTATTAAGCACAAACTGTGTCTTAGGTAGAAAAGCATATAAGAAACAACCCTGGAAGAGTTCAGAATCTGAAAGATCAAGTCAAAACGCACGTGAAAAGACAGGAACATGCACATTGCAGGAATTTAGACAGGAAGTGACTACCAAGAATGGAACCGCAGTCTGAATTGCCCTTCCTACAGGTGGCATTGAAAGTCAGGTTAGAACTGAGAAGAGGGCAACCTTCACAAACAGTACACTCAGAATGTCCCTACAGACACGTGATATTATTTCACTGTAAGATATTAAAGTATTGATGCAAATGCATTATTCAGAGAAATAAAAGTCTCCTTCCTACACTCTTTAGTGAGGAAATCTACAATTGGGGAAATTCACTCAGATCTGATTAATTAACTCAATATAAATTCCTCACTTCAATTAGAAGCAGCAGCAAACATGAGAATATCTATTTTAGACCCAATTTTAGCATTAATAAAGGCAGAGTCTTCCAAAATAAGACTTTTTAAAAAGGGAACAGTGATGATAATACTTCATTAAATACTAGTGTTGTGTTTATAGTCACAGAATCATTTAACAGGTTTGATTTTGCTTCAGTTCTGTACAACGAATGCTAAATTCAATAGAGGTTTTCTTTTAATATCCTGGATAGCAATTTTAATTATAATTTTTAACTAATATTTTGAGTTTGCTTCATATAAAAACATACTATCCCTTTAATATTTTTCCAAGATTTTTTTCAAGGGGAGTCTCCTTACCCAAGATCTGGTGACTGAAGTGACATCACCTTTTTCATTCTCTATAGAATTTGCTCAGACAAATTTGGGGGGAAAGTATAGCCATCCCCCCTTATATGCAGTTTCAATTTCCGTGGTTTCAGTTACCTGTGGTAAACCATGGTCCAAAAATATTAAATAGAAAATTCCAGAAAGAAACGATTCAGAAGCTTTAAATAGAGCAGATTTCTGAGTAGCATGATGAAATCTCATGCCATCCCACTCTGTCCTGCCTGGGAGGTGAATCATCCTTTTGTCCAGGGCATCCTGCCTGTTAGCCACTTAGTAGACTTGTCGGTTATCAGATCTATAGTTGTCATATCACAGTGCTTATGTTCAGGTCACCCTTATTTTGCTTACCAATGGTCCTACAGACCAAGAGTAGTGAGGGGCAACTTGGATCTGCCAAAAAGAATCCATAAAGTGCTTCCTTTGCGTGAAAAGGTGAAAGTTCTAAGGAAAGAAGAGAAATCATATGCTGAGGTTGCTAAGATCAATGGGAAGAATGGATCTTCCATCCCTGAAATTGTGAAGAAGGAAAAAGAAATTCAGGTTAGTTTTGCTGTTCCACCCCAAGCTGTGAAGTTTACTGCCACAGGGCATGATAATTGCTTAGTTAAGATGGAAAGGGCACTGAATTTGTACAACAAGATAATTTGAGAGAGGAGGAGAGAGATTACTTGTACCTTTATTACAATATATTGTTATAATTGTTCTATTTTATTATCAGTTACTGTTGTTAATCATTTACTGTGCCTAATTTATAAACTAAACCGTATCATAGGTATGTATGTATAGGAAAAACATACTATATATAGGGTTTGGTACTATATTTGCTTTTAGGCATCTACTAAGGGGCTTGGACCCTAAACCTGGCAGAAAAGAGGGGACTACTGTATTGTCTATTGAGGTAAGTATATAACAGACTATGGGAAATATAACTGACTTTTTCAGAAAAAGACTCAGAGCTTTTGAGAGTCAACCTATTTTCACTCCATATTTTAAAATTAGTAAACTTAATTTTAAGAGTTGTTGAGGTTTACACAAAGTTGTGCAGAAAATACAGAGGATTCTCATACATCCTCTCATCCCCCCGCAACAGTTTCCCCTATTTATTAACTTCTTGCATTAGAGTGGTACACATTTGTTGCAAGTGATGACTCAACATTGTTACGTTATTATTAACTAAAGTCCGTAGTTTGTGTTGTATAGTTACGGATTTGGAGGAATGTATAAGGACATGTATCCACTACAGCAGACTCATACTGGGCAGTTTCACTGCCGTGCACATTCCCCGTAGTCCATTTATTCTTTCTTCCTTCCCTCCTCCCCTCAAACTCCTCGCAACCACTCATCTTCTTTTGGCTTTCTGGCTTTTCCAGAATGTCGTGTAGTTGGTGTTGTAGAGTATACAGCCTTTTCAGATTGGTTCCTTTCACCTAGCAAGAGGCATTTAAGTTTTCTCTATGTCCTGCCATGGTTAGGTAGCTCAGTTCTTTGTATCACTAGATAATATTTCATTGTATGAATGTACTGCAGTTTGTTCATTCATTTATCTACTGAAAAGACATCTTAATTGTTTCCAAGTTTTAGCAATTAGGAATAAAGCTGCTATAAATATGTGTGTCCAGGTTTTTGTGTGGACAGAAATTTTAGGCATATATACATTTATATTACATATTTCTATGTATATAAATATACATATATTTAAAACAGTGCCTGTCACATAGTAGGTTCTCTGTAAGCGCTAGGTCTCATTGTAATTCAATTCACAACTGACTGTTCCATCCCATGTATCAAGAAAATGTGTAAGGGACCCGTTATCTGGAGCCAAATAAACTCTGGGTTTGGGCAGAGGTTGCTAGATCCTCAATAAAATGAGTTTTCTCTTTTCTTAGGCACACAGTAATTCTAGCTTCACAGTCTCCTTTGCAATGCGGTGTGGACAAATGCCTGAGTTTTAGCCAGTGGAATGTGAGCTGAACTGATAAGTGAGGCTTGCCCCATTAAAAACCTCCTCCGTGTGTTCCCCCATGGTCTTTTCTCTTTTTGGCTAACCGAGACGGCCCCCACCCAAGCAATCTCGAAACTCTCGAAGGTGGCAAGGCAGACATCAGCCTGAGCCCCATGTGCAGAGATCATCCCAACAACCAGAACGCTTGAGTTGGGCTCTTATGTGAACAGTGAATAAACTTCCATTGTACTTGGGCTAATATAAATTTTGGAACGCTCTAATGCAGTGGTTAATTGCATTATCACCACCTAGAAAAAATGGTTGCAGTTTTGTACAACGGTATAAAGCCAAAATAAACAAACATACCTGAAACCTACATATTATTTAACTTGATGTTTCACAAAATGCCACTTATAGGGACAATATGATTAAACATATTATGAACTGAACATATTAATAATAAACTATTATTGTTGTTTTTGCCTTTCAGTTTGGGTTATATATCAAAGATTTGATCTTTTTGTATTATGATTTTGCCACTTAACATTGCCCATAATCATATGTAGTAAGTGCATAATATTTCATTTAATTGATATATCACCATTTTCTTAACCATTCTCTTATTTTCCTACAGTCAAGTGTTTCCTAAGTTTTATAATAAGTATAATGGTGCCATAAACATCTTCTGAGCATTTGTCCTTTAGAATAAATCCTTAAGTTACAAATCATCAGGTCAAATTACACAAACATTTTATGATTCTTGATATATTTTTTCCAAATTAATTTATTAGAAAGTTGTTTCAAATGACTACTTCACACACATGAGTTGTTAGACTATATTCCCAGCCACTTGCCCAAAATTTGGGCTTAGAACTGCAACATGAGTGAGAGACACTGATCTTGTGGTAATGACCATGAAAATCAGGTCACATTTTCTGTATATTCACAAGAATCATAGCTCACCTAGCTCAGTGTCTGGCATATTAAAGTGTTTAATGATTACTTGCTGCACGGATGAATAAATGAATCAGTAACAAGTAAGTGAATAAATAAATAAGTGAGTATATGGGACCATTTGTTCTAAGTTGATAGTTTCTCAGTGTATTAAATGTACTGAGGTATTTTTTTTTAAACTTTATCATAAGGAGTGGGTGTGTAGTCCTATTAAGACACTGGTCAAGCAAGTGGATTTGGATCTCCAGCAATCAGGTCTGAGGGTGTTTACATCACTTGAGACAGTATAGAGAGGAAGAAACAGTAAAGAGAACCTGAGATAAAAGCCCTTTAGAAAGAGCCAAGAGGGAAGCTGGAAGGCCAGGCACAAGCACCAAGTCCAAGGCAGGAGTGGTTGTGTCAGTCATCTGTGGGATTATCTTCCCAGCTGTATTTAGGGGTACCACCCCTTGCTATCCACATAGTTTCATGGAAACATCCATCCATACATCCATACATCTATCTATCTGTCTATCTACCTATCTATCTACCTACCTACCTACCTATCCATCTACCTACCTATCCATCTACCTACCTACCTATCTATCTATCTTTCTATCTTTCCATCTACTATCATGACTCTGACCCCTTCCTCATCCCTGGCATGGCTGTTGGCTTAGGAGTGGACATAGGAGTCAAGTTGTATGAATGAATCCTTCCCAAGAGACTTGGGGTGAAAGATAGCATAAGATCAGTGTCCTCCCTGGAAGTCGTAGTTCTAAGAGTAAAGCACAGAAGCTGTGGCTGTGCAAATATTCTGTCAAGGGGAACTTCATATAAAGGGATTTTTTTTTAATGGAGGAGCAGGTGTTTGTTTCTTGTGAGGGTCCAAATTAATTTGTAAGTTATTCCAGCAAGGAATCGAGGGAAAGGTTGAGTGTACGAAAAGGTAGCTGTCCGTCAGAAGGATTTTCCAACCAAGCGCCTTTATTGTCGTCTTAAGTAAAACTGCGTAATAATTTGATTGTTCTTTTGCTGGATTCTCAGGATTCTGCTTGTGAGCTCGTGCTCTTGTTTTAAGAATTCAATCAGAATTCAGGTAAAATGTCCTAGCTGTCTCACCAACCACCTATTTCTGAAGAAGAAATCGGAAGAAAAAAGGAAATTTTATAGTCAAATTTGATGAACAGTTCTCCCTCTTGAGATAAACTCTTTTTTCTTTTATACACAAGATGATTAATTGACAATGATGTTGGCTCTAGTGAATTTTTTTTTTCCAAAATGTGACTCTGTCAGGTCTTTGGACTTCTCCCTGATGGTCCTCCCTGGAAGAGCACTAGTCCTCCTGCCCTGTGGCTGTCTAGCTTGCCATGACTTGCTTTCTGTGAGCACAGGTAAAATATGCCAGCGTGAGCAGAAAATTTAAGAACCATTTCAAGGTTCTGTCATTGTTCCTTTCCCTCTGTCATAAGAATGGCATGTTCTACGTAGGGGCTGCTCCTTTTTTCTAAACCTTTGAACATGGAAGACATTAAGCAGAGCCCCAGCTGCCCCCCAGGCAACATCTAATATGGACAAGAAATAAATGTTGTTATTGTGAGCCACCGATATCTTGGGGTCATTCGTTACCCTGGCATTATCTAGTGAAAGCTGACTCTACTAGAGGCAATGGCAGTTTTTCTTTGCTCACTGGGGCACTGAGACTGAGTCTTCTATTCTCTCAGAGAGAGAGAGAGCTCAAAAGAGTACATGCAAAAATTCTCAGGATATTGTACAAAAGAAATACTTAAAAATATCCTGTGCTTTTATTCTATTTCCCTTGTGATGACATATATAAATTAGTTCCTGGAGGAAACCTGGATTAAGCACTACTGTGCCATACCCTCTTCATGGTGGTTTACCGATGCCATATGTTCAAAAAAGAAGGAAGCAAAGTCACATGACAAATAGCTCAAACCTCTCTCAGTCTGATGGGGCAAGAATGGCCAGGAGATCAGGGCATATTCCACATCGCAATTTTTTTCCTATTGATTGTGAGCAGATGGGAGCTATACTATTTAAGGAAGACTAAATCCTGGTACTTGGCGATTATCCAAAGCCAAATGAAAGAAGGGGGCGACATTCATATGGCTCAGTAACAGAAGACAACTAAAAATAGGCACCCAGCCCAATCACAGCAAGCCTGAGGGTTGCTAGGCAAGAAGGCATTTTCCTCAGCAGCTTAGGGCCCTCCATTCACAAGTTTTAAATTGCCTACTAATTTCTCAAATCTATTTGTTTCGTCATTGTGCTCATTTAACATGCACCTCTATGGTCTCTTTATTTTATATTAACCTAAGATCCAGATTAAGATGATTTATACACTGAAGCAGGCCCTGTTTTTCTCAGTCCATTGAGTTCAAGAGTGATAAGTCCTGGCACTCAGAGGTTTCTATCCAAACGTTGTAGCTTCATTCTGAAGAGCAACATTTACACTAATAATGAGGGTCTCTGTAACCTTGAAGGTGTGGTCCTTGTGAGGGTTACTGATATTAATACTGGAGGCTCTGATTCAGTTGCTGCTCATTTCTTGAGCAATTGTTAGAATTGCTAAGTCTTTTCCCATAGATGGAGGAGTAACTGAATATGTAACAAAGCCTCTTAGAACAGAGCCAGATATTTCTATCTTTGCTGCAGTGACTGTGACTTCAGACTCCCAACAGGAGGAGGAAAACAACCGACTAGTGTATGTATAAGCATCGTGCTGGCAAGTGGGGCAGTTTACTGACTGGAAGATCAAAAATGAACTGGCACCCAGAGGGTCACAAGTGGCTACAATACCATTCTCAGCAAATCTCACTTCTTTATACACATTTGAGATGCTGTCGATAAATTTACACCCTAAAAGGAAATAAACAAACTACAGGAACACGAAACAAGATGAAGGAAACTCAACAAATACTGAACAAAAAAAGCCAGTATAAAGGAAAACATGTGTACAATTCCATGTATAAAGTACAAAGCCAGGTGACACTAATCTATAGTGTTAGGAGTCAGATTGTCTCTGCACAAGAGGCAGAGGCTAAAATTAGAAGGGGACATGAGGTGGCCTCCAGGGATGGTAGTCATATTTTATTTCTTGACCTAAGTGTAGTTACATAGATGTGTTCTATTCATAACTCATCAAAGTATATACTTCTAATGTGTGCACCTTTTTGTAAATATGTTATACGTTAATGAAAAAGGGGAAAAAATCATACTCCAGAACTAAAGGCACCGTCTTGGATGGTGGGGTCTTAATAATTTATTCTGAGAAACTCTAACTTCTGTTAGTCCATGAAATCCAGTTTTATTCCTTTGAGAGCTATTTCTAACCAATTAACAATCTCAGCCTCTGGAACATGGGCAAAGTCTGACCCACAATTAAAAGTTGACTGACTCGTGCATTTCAAACCACATTATACCATTGCTCATTCACTTACATAGTCTCCCTGTCCCCGAAGCTCAGCTGACTGTCTCTTATTTGGGCAGACATTGGCATCATCTATTTCAATTTGACCTAGTTCTTTATTCCATGGAATTTTTTAAAGTTTGGATGACCCCAGTGAAATCCAGACAAATTTTATGTCCAAATATGATTTAGCTCCATGTAGCATCGTTAAAAGTCTGATCTCCTGTGCATACTCTGCAGGGGCTGATTCTTAATATTTCTGTTTACTTCGCCATTTGTTATTTTAATTATATTAGACTGATTCTATATTTGACTTGAGGTTTTTAAAAATGAAATTTATGTTGAGATCTCCACCACTTAGGGTACCAGCAAATGCTTACTGAATATTTTACCCCTTAATAGAAACATCTATTGTCAGGATTTGGTGGATAAAACCTGCTATACTTTTTAACTCAGTCCTGATACCAGGCCCCTCAAGACCGACCTAACCTTGACGCACACCAATTATCGTTAACATTTGTTTTTCTTCATAGGTTTGCTTCCCTAGGAACCATGGTAAAATAGTCTTTCCCCTCCTGTAAAGCCGTCTCCCCCTGCAGATGCCATCCAGGTGTGTGATTAGAGGTAATTCATTGGTCCGTACCTGATCTCTGGTGTGGAAACTGGTTTTTTTTAAAGACAACCTCTTGAGTGCTTTCCAGAGATGCTCTAAATAAGAATGGCTTTGCTTTCTATGCCTAGTGCATACTAGAGACCAGGGAAATTTGGGTAAATTATGTCATAATGACAGCCAAGAGTGGCTTATCATCAGAAGGAATATGATTGGGGACTCAGACTCGAAAAGTAAATGTTTATCAAGTAAGACTTCTTAATATCAAATAATTTAGGGAGTTAAAATTATATTTTCCTTATGCTTGTTCAGTTCCACATATAGTTTTTCTTGGGCTCTCAAACATTACTTCTTTATTTTGATTTTGATTTTTTTAATTGATGTAGAGTCAATTTACAATGTTGTGTTAATTTCTGGTATACAGCATAGTGATTCATATATATATATATATATATTCCTTTTCATAATCTTTCTCATTATAGGCCATTACAAGGTATTGAATACAGGTCCTTGTGCTGTATAGTAGGACCTCAAACATTACTTCTTATTTCATAATTGACTCATAACTTGCCTCTTGTTTGGTCAAACTATCATTTTTACTTAATATTTTTGGTGAATCATAAATTCATGAGTCCTTGATCTGGTCTAATAAGTGGAAAATCTCACATGTTTATACTGTTCTTAAAAATTTTGGCTTGTATTTTCATGAATCACACTTTTTTTTTTTGGTAAAAAGTTCAATAAACAAGCAAGCTTTACTTTTTTTCTCCACTTGGGCTTCAATAAAGAAATGTTCAAGTATTTTATTTGTAGGACCTTCATGGTGATTATGACAAAATATACCTGGCATGGGAGGATGGTTTGATTAATTGATCAGATTTATTTCCCTCACTTCATTTTCCCCCATCCCTTGGTCTTATCTGCTAAGAGGCAGATAACTAAGGAGATAGTACCATAAAGGCTGGGACCATTAAGGCCAGCCCCAAAAGGGGATTTTCTATTAACAGAGCCAAACCTGATAATATGTCAGAGTGGCAACGATTTTGACCTGGGATTTAAATAATCTATTCCGTAATTCTATTCTACCCATTGCTTGAAGGTGAAAATCATTTTACATTATTATACACCCACTTACAGACAATTCTAGTTGTAAAATTTATTCCCTAAGCAGGTATTATGGGACCAGGGATCCTGAATATTTAAACAACATTCTGCATAAGATTACTAGTGGTGGCTGCATTAACCAGAAACATGATCCCATAACCTGAATGAGAATGATACACAAATTTATTTAACATCTAGATGGCATAATATGTCCCAGCAATAGACATACAAGTATTGTTACACATGTGGAAAGAAATAACACCTCAGTCATAATTAGAGAAATGTATGTAAATTAAAGCCAAACTGAGGTGCTATTTTTCATCTACAAGATCAGCAATAACAAAACATTTAGTAACATTTTGTTAATGTGGGAGGGAGTATAAATTATTACAAATTGTTACTCTCTTATGAAGTGTAATTTGGCAATAGCTATCAAAATTACAAATGCACCTATACGATGACCTAGCTGTTCCCTTTTTAGAAATTTATTTTACAGATGTACTTGCACTGTGCACAATGATGTGTGTAGAGGAATATTCATTAGAGCATGATAGCTGTGATAGCAAAAGACTGGAAGCAACTTAAATGTCAGCCAATGTGAGAGCCATGAAATACAGAACAGGACATTCATACAACAGAACAACATGCAGCCATTTCAAAATAATGGAGAAGCTTTTTGCACGTTGAAATAAAGTGATTTTCAAAATACATATATTATTAAAGCAAGATGCCGAACGGTGTGTGTAGTATGGGACCATTTGTG